AGAGAGGGGTAAGCGTTGGTTTAAACTAAAAGGGTGATTAAATCTATTTCAAATGACATAGGGTGTGAATTCATAGTCTCCCCTAATGCCCCTTGTATAATGGATTCGATTACCATAATTAATACCTATCTACTTATAATTTTTTTGATGAATATATTGTATATATAAGATGTATATATTGACTCGAATAATTTACCTTTGTATATAAATCAATAAACATCTTAAAATAATTGTTGCAATGAAAATCTATGTTTCTTACCTAATGACTTCTATAGACTATGAATCTAATTGTCTATTTTGGTATATTCTATGTACAAATTATTATTATTATTTGAATATAACAATTTTGTACAGATTCTTAATACATTTTTAATTACTTTTTATTATATGCCCCTCCTAATTTCGAAATTAAAATTGAATACTTATTTAATGTACACAGGTACAATTAATAAACCTATTTTTAAAATTAACCTATCTAACAGTACTTACAAAAAAAACAATCAACTCATTTAAAACCTTAGCACAGCGTTTCCCATCTGGTGGGTCGCGACCCGGTGCCGGGTCGCCAAAAGAAAATACCGGGTCGCCAGCATTGCCTCCATTTTTTAAATAAGTACTAAGAGATGGTCGATTTTATTTCATGACTAACGAGACAATGATGATAACTCCTTTAATTAACATTAACAAAATATGGATTAGAAACCCATTCACATTCAATAACTCCGAAACGAATTTGACAGATTCAAATGTCGAATCGTTAATTGAACTGTCTTGTGACACAGCACTAAAGGACATATTCGAACGACAACCAAAAAACGTACGGCTTGTATACCTTGGTCACAATTAAACAGCTTCATACTTCTCACTAATTATAGTAATACATACATATTAGCAATTAGCTGTGTTTTATTTTTTCCTAATACCGTTTTCAGTCGGTCCAAAAACTTAAGTGGGTCACGAAGGAGGAGTATGAAATTTATCGGGTCATAGTAGAACAAAGTGTGGGAAACGCTGCCTTAGCACATACACAGAGTTGAGATAATCCTTCCCACACACGTGTATCATTCTGTGTACATTCAGTGAAGCACTCATTCACAAGTTTAGCTAACTTGTTGCGCTGCGCAGAAGAGATGCGCAGTAACATAACCTCACACTTTACTGAAATATTATTCATGAAAAGCGTCGCGAAGGCTTTCAAGGAGATCTTTGAGAACGGAAAACCGTGCGCCGCCCTACACAGCGGAAGTTGAAGGTATCCACTTCCTGGAAACTCGACGACGAGGGCAGGGAAATTTCAGATTTGTGGGCGCCGCTACCAGGAGATCAGAAACGCTAGGAGATCGCGTTGCCAAGGGGTGCGCGCCAAGACAACGCACCACGCATGCGTCGAAATCTAGTATCGATTTTCTTCCACCCTCACGACTAACGCAATCACAACCCCTCTTTGGACACGAAGTTACGAATAAAATAAATATGACTCCATTTATTTAAAGTGCAAACTTATTACAATATACACAAAAAGTGTAGGTACTATTAATAAATTATTTGAATTTTGATAAACGCAATATTAATACAAAGAGTGTCAGTTATCTTTGTCACATGTTTATTAAGTGGAAGCTTCTTATATTGCAAAGAATTAAATATAGCGTAAGTCTACATAATTATGTTTGTCTAAGGCTCTACCATGAATACGGAAACCATTTATTGATTGTCCACACACCAGGGTCATTACTGCAGAAAATAATTATACTTACAATAACAAAAATCATAGATTAGGTACGTATCAATTTAATAAAGTCTTCGTAGCTCCGTAGCGACAATGTTTAGCTCGACAACTATACATACACCCTTACTTATGCTTAGGTATACTGGTCTACGTACATCACCCCCGTCGCGAGAATGGAATTTATTTAGCTCCTCGGCAGTCTGCGCGCCTAGTAAGTCAGATGTCGAGGAAAGTTCGTTGAAAAGATATCAAGCGATTTTCCAAGTGGAAGTTAATTTTTATAAGATTTTAAAATGTTCCAAGAAAATTCTTAAGGGAAAAATTTTGCAAGCACGCCTTTTGTTTTTCATGTTCTTAAAAAATAGTTTACAAATCTATGCCTTCCAACAGGAAACTGCACATCCGCCCATTGCGCCCAAAGAAAACCACTATACTTGAAACTCTGCTTGGGGCCTTGGCACATGACAGTCAAGGCCCCTAGTTGCGAGTCCAAACCGTTGACTGATCCGCCATTTTCGTCATTTGTACCAGGAGAGCAAATTCTACGAAGAGGTTATTGATTTTCCACGACGCGCCAGAAAGAGACGGCAACGGCAAAGTTTTCCCCGGAGACAGAACGGGACAGAAACTTTGTTACCGTCGCGTTCACCCCAACCCCTTTTGTGCTCAGCTGATTCCATTCACAGAGTAAGAAATGTTTGCTCAGAAAACGAATGAAGTTCACATGCAACAGGTGAATTTCATGTATGTATAAGCGTGTATGGCATTGTACCTCGTGTGTTCATACGTTTTGAGACAAATAAAAAGTTGCATATCTTTTTAAATAATAAACTTATATCTATAAAAACAATAACAAACATTAAGTAGATAGTAAGTAAAAATTAAATATAATTATTATTCAAAATGACCACCCCTGTTTTTAATACATGCCCTTAGACGATTTGGCCAGTCATCAATGGCGGCACGAATCTTTTCCAGAGGAATTCGCTTCGCTTCTCGGACAAGAGCTCGCTTAAGTGACTCCAAGTTTGGGTGGGACTTTCGGCAGGCTCTGAGCTCTAATTCGGTCCATAGAGAATAATCCAGCGGGTTGAGGTCGGGGCTGGAGGAGGGCCATTCGTTCGCCGCAATGAAGGCCGGCACATTTTCCTTCAGCCAAGGTTGGGTGGTTTTAGCCTTATGGGATGGCGCCGAGTCTTGCTGGAAAACCCAATACTTGTTATGGAATAGGGTATTAGACAGGGGTTTCACAACAGTCTCTAGAATGTCACTTTGATAATTTTTGGCTTTCACCTTGACGCCTTGTTGGCAGAAATGAAGCTGAGTGACACCTTCGTACGGAACTCCCCACAATACCATGACACTAGCCGGATGATGAGTACGCGAGACATTCCGTGCTGAAGGTGGGACATCCTTGCTACTTTTGGCATACACTTTATTGTTTTGTCGATTGAACTTTTCTTCGACGGTAAAGATTTTCTCGTCGGTGAAGAGTATC